GGGGTTGTGGGTCTTTGGTCTTGAGAGTCTTTTCCAGCCCACAGAGTCTGTGAATCTATCATCCAGGATAAGGCATCGCTGATGAGGAACCCCAGGCCCCCTCTGGACACTCCCATCAGGGCAGCACAGGAGAATCTAGGTATCCCTCCAAAAATCGGTAACGGACAGGAGTGAGAGGCAAGGGGCTCTGTCCTCCCTGGCAGGTAGCTCCTACCTTCTGGCAGGTGCATGCCCAAGATCTTGGGACTTAAGTCAGGGTCCTGAACTGGGACTTCCTGCCCTTAGATTTTCCTGCTTCCTTTGACACCTTGGCCTTGATTGTGCCTCTTCATAGGTGGGCTTTCCCTCTCCATGTATGGTCACAACTTCCTCCTTGGCTCCTGGTCTCCTGGATACCCATTCCCAGTCTATGGCCATGCCTTTCGCTGCTCACATCTTGAGTTCGGGCCACCCCAGAAACAGGCTTCTCTCTCTTACACAAGTCAAGTCTGCCAGCTCTGGTAGCTCTTTGCAACAGCAGGTTCTTTGGGGGCACAGATTTCCCTTTGTCTCCTCTTCACTCCCTGGGTCATCTTCATGACCACGCTTCCTTCCACAGCTCAGAGTTGGGGCCGGAGGTCTCATTTCTGCTCAGACTAGAATGTTGGGCCGCACAGCTCCTGGATTTAGGCTGACACAATAGCAGTAGACCCTGGTGGGTGCATCCCAAGTGCCTGGGGTCTGGCCTGCACCTATAACATGGCCTGTAACGTGGCCCCTCCTTAAGAGTGTGGGTTCATTGGAAAAGCCGATGTGGCTGGGTTAGAAAGACAGACCTATGAGCAGCACGCTCGCAGAGGTCTGAAGAGGGGGTAGGCGCTGGGAGGATGGCTCCTGGGTCTGCTGCTTATGCTCGTATTTTCCCAAGTCTCCACTCCCTTCCTCCTTTTCTAGATGACGAGGAATTCTGGCTTTGGGGATACCTTCTAACCCAGCAATCAAGGAGAAGTCTCAGGTGCTCACATAGCTGGGGTATGTCTTCGGGATAAGACGTGTTCCATGTCTCTGGGTTTCAGGAAAGGTGGGACCACTGTGCTCTGGGAGGCAGCCTCTGCTCCGGCCTGTCTGGTGGGGCACCGCATCCAAATCTTGGGTTTCCTCCTTCTCCAGACCCTTGGTACCAGAAGGCAGCTGCCCAGCGGTAAAGAGTGTCTAAAGCTTTCCTTTCTGCTCAAAACACTTTGCCCTCTCCTATCTCTGATGAGCAGGGGCTACATGGCTAAGTTTCTTCATTTCTAAAACTGTAGCTGGCAGCAAGACATGGGAGGGATTAACCGTGTTGGCTGGATGCTGGCTGGTCCTAATCTGTCTAGGACCCCGTGATGGCCGCAGACTGGGAATCATTATGTGTCAGGCATTAATCCTTGTCAATCGGGACATTCCTACCGAGGACACAGGACACCCCAAATGCCCTGGACCCCTATTGACCAAGAGGAGGGCATGTGCAGTGGACACTTTCTCCTGCTTCCTCTACCAAATCTGGCCTATCTCTGGGGTTAAGAAGTACTGAAGCAAGAGTGCAATTTTCTGGGTAGGGTGAGCCCCTTTTTGAGCTTCTAGGGAAACTTTGCAAATCTGTTTTTAGCAAGGTGCCTGCACAGACATACCCGCTTTTCGCCCCACCCCCTCCCCCGACTGAATAATATTCTGAGAATCCCCCCACCCGCCCCGCTTCTCTTCTAAGTCTCTCCAGCCCAGGTGCATATAGAATGGGAGAATGTTCAAGCTAGAAGGGACTTCGGGAGTCATCTTAGTCCTTCTCAAACTGCTGTGTGCTTATGAATCACCCGGGGAGCTTATTAAAACAGATATTCTGGTTTAGTAGGTCTGGGGAGGGGCATGGGATGCTTTGGGCAAACAAGCTTCCAGGTGACGTGGGTGCTGCTGGTCAGAGGGCCTCACTTTGGAGAGTGAGGTCCAGCCTCGTCATCCCACAGACATGAGAGCTGAGGCCCAGAGGCTTACGTGATTTGCCTATGGTCAGAACTAGAACTCTGTTCTCTCCACTCTTAATCTAGGATCTGCTTTGAAAAGGGCCTCCTTCCTTTAAAGCTGCCCCTTCCCGCCCAGAGTCCCAGCATAAACGTAACATCCCGTTTAAATCCCGTTTTACTGTTGGGATGAAAGGCTTCTTGTGCCATTAGGACCCCCTTGCTTCACCGTGTGCATTTTTATAATCTCCAAAGGGATTTTTAAAGGTTTTTTTGTTTTTTTTTTAATTGTTCTGACTTATGGACACCTCCCCTTCTTGGCTGGAAATGTTAAAAACCATGTCTCTCTCTCCCCGCACAAGTGGGCTGGGCATCGTTTGGATACAACTATTTTAGTCCCAGGCTGGAGAACTGCTGGGCCCAATCCATTTGGCATTCCCTGCTTTTTGGAATCTGCCCTTGGAGTGGTCTGAGAAAGGTTCTCTGCGTGTGTCTGCTGCCACCTGCCACCTCCTTCAAGAGGCCACCCTTTGCCTCTGCCTCAGTTTCCCAGGCTCTCAAATAGGCATTTGGGCCACACTCAGAGGGGCACTTTAAGGACAGGGGGACGTCCAGTGGACCAAGGGTATCTGGGTTGTCCTGGGGCCCAAAGGAACTGCTTTGCCCGACTAGAGAGGTCTCCACTCTCTGTCCCCTCCTGCTGGTGGGAGGGCAAAATGCCAGTCTGGCTACCAGGCCATAATGGCAACAGGGGGTAAAAGTCCCCCTGGAGGCCCAGGGAAGGCAGAGAACATAAGGGGAAGTGGGGAAAACTGCCTTTTATAGTCATGTTCCTCTCTTTCTCCCTTCTTTTTTTCTTCCAAGTTTACTCAGCGACAGTGCCACTCGAAGGCGCCTGGTCTGTCTGTGGTTACGCCTGGGGTGGGCCGGTGGCACCCGCATATCCCCTCCCCCATCTTGCTTGCAAGTTGCATGACCTGCTCGGAATCCATAGGGGGGCGGGGGAGAAGCCTTTCAGATGCTGGATGTAGTTGAATTCGGCGCATTTGCTTCCTAGCCTGCCCTCATCCAAGATCGGGGAGGAGAGCCCTGCTTTCTTCTGCGTGTGAATGCCGTAGTGTGTCTGCCTGCTCCGACTTCCCTAACCCTTTCTTTTCCTTTCCGACAGCGAATGCTCTGGTTTTCTCAGCATACAGCTCACACTTGGCATTTTGACGTTTTATTAAAAAAAACAAAACAAAACAAAACAAAAACCAAAACCAAAACCCAAACCTTACCAAAGCAAAAAGCGGGGACCCTTCTCTTCTCCCGACGGGATCTGAGCTCTCGTCCAAGACTGCACCTGCTTTACGCCCCTACCAGGAAGGGGTGCTTGTGTGGGAGGGAGGGAGGTTCTGCGCCCCCGAATCCGGAGAAAGCAGCCCGCCCGCCCCCTCACCGGGCAGCCAGAGCAGCGCACCCGAGAGCCGAGCCCAAGAAGCCGGTCTCTGACGGTGCTGGCCTGCTTGCCAAAAAATGCCCCTTGCATCTCAATTTCCCGGCCGTTTCTCTCTTGCACGCGCTGCTCGCCCGGGGCCACCTCGGCTCCCCAGCGCAGCCCTTTGGGCGCTGATTCTGTCCTTCCCCGCTCCCCGCCTGCCCGAGGCTGGACGCAAAGCCCACCGCCAAGAAGGCGCAGGGGGTGTGGGGGCACCAACCCGGGCGTGCCCTGCAGTCCCCTCCCAGCCGAGCCCAGCTCCCGGACTCTCGATTACGGAAATGAGTGTCATTTAGACGGAGTACCGCGCGTCCGCGGCTCCCGTCCCCGGCTCCGGGAGCCTCTCTGCGGTTTCCGTGCGCTCCCGCAGCCCCCGTCGCCGTCTTCGAGCCTGTGCCCCCCCACCCAGGCTCGGGAGCACTGCCCGGTCACCTCGGCCGCGTCCATTTCACTTCCTCTCGCGGCCCGGATTGCAGCAAAACACCGGGCAGCGCGAGGGCCAAAAAGTGCAAAGGAGAGCGCCTTTCGGCGTCGCGCAGCCAGCTCGCCAACTCCCCCTCCCCAGCCCAGACCCTCTCAATCCCAACTGCAACTTTTTCCCTTCCGTCTCGGTTTCCCCTTGGCTGCGGCGAGCGGGCGCCGGGCGCCGGGCCGCGAGGCGTGGAGCGGGCCGGCGGGCGGCCGCGCGGCTGCGGGTGGCGGTGCGGGCGAGAGCCGCGAGCCGGCGAGTGGGTGGGTGGGTGGGGAGGGAGGAGGGGAGAGGACGGGCGGGGAGGGAGTGGGGTGTGGGGAAGGGGAGGGGGAGAGGGAGGGGGGGAGATTCCGCTCCCCTGCCGCTCCCAGCCGGGGCGGGGGGCGGGGGGAGGAGGCCGCGAGGAGGGAGGGGAGGAGGGAGGGGGAGAGAGGGAGGGAGCCGAGGAAGACGCTCCGATAACCCGTGCGTTTCGTAAGGCTCTGAGCACTTGTACATTTCTGCAGGCGCGCGGCGAGCCATTCGCGGCGGCTGCTGCAGCTCCGACTGCATCTTCCTCCTCCTCCTTCCCCCGGGCTCCGGGTGTGTGTATGTGTGAGTGAGTGAGTGTGTGTGTGTGTGTGAGTGTGTGTGTGCTTTGCAGGTGTGTCCGTTTTAATTCTGCCCAGTAGGTGGGACTTGGTGACTTTAGCACCATATTTTCCTTTTCCTTTTTTTTTTTTTTTTTTTTTTTTTTTTTCCTCCCCCCCGTCTGTTGCAACCCTGCAAAGTCTCGGAGTCGGAGAGCGCGGCTCGCTTCCCGAGCCTCCGGACCCGGCGAGCCGGCGAGCGCCGAGCCGGCCACCATGCCAGGCAAACCGCGCCACTAGGCGCTCCCCGCGGCTCCCACCCGGCGGCGGCGGCGGCGGCGGCGGCGGCGGCAGCGGCGGCGGCGGCGGCGGCGGCGGCCGCGATGGTTTCAGACGCTGAAGGATTTTGCATCTGATCGCACGGCGTTTCAAAGGCAGAGGCCCCCCCCTCCCCCTTCCCCCCTCCCTCGCCGTCTTTGTTTCCTTCCCCCCCAGCTCTCCCCACTCCCCCCACCCCACCCCCCTCTCCTCTCCTCCTCCTCTTTTTTAGAAGCCGCGATCGGAGATGGATGTCTCTCTTTGCCCAGCCAAGTGTAGTTTCTGGCGGATTTTCTTGCTGGGAAGCGTCTGGCTGGACTATGTGGGCTCCGTGCTGGCTTGCCCTGCAAATTGTGTCTGCAGCAAGACTGAGATCAATTGCCGGCGGCCGGACGATGGGAACCTCTTCCCCCTCCTGGAGGGGCAGGATTCAGGGAACAGCAATGGGAACGCCAGCATCAACATCACGGACATCTCAAGGAATATCACTTCCATGTAAGTCGGGCGGCCGCTCCCCAGCCCGCCTTCCCTCTCGCTCCGCGGCTCCCTCTCGCCCGCCCGCGGCCGGGAGCCGGCCCTCCGCCCGCCCGCCCCGGCTCGCCGCCGCCCGCCGGGCGCGCGTCAGGCTCGCCGTGGCTCGGGAGATGCTCTCGGGCTGCGTAGTCCAGGTGATCCGGCCCTTGCAGGCGGGGGCCGGAGCCGCGTGGGTGCCTCTCCCCGCAGGGGACCCCCGCCGGCCCCGGGCGTGCGCGGCCCAGCTCCCGCCCCCGCCCCCACCCGCCGGGGCTCGTCGAGAGGGTGCGAGTCGGGTTTTTGCCCCCCACTAAATAGCAACAGTTTGGCCACGCTCAAGTGGAATAAAGTAGACGAGGTTCGATCCCCGGCGGCGGCGGCGGCGGCAGTGACAGCGGCGGCGCTGGGCCGGGAGGGAAGGTGACAGGGATTGCTGGAGATCCAGCCGAGATCGTTAACTATTTCCTTTTGGAAACAGCGAAACACGCTGACAAGTAAACAAGTTGGGAGCTGGCTGCTCGCTGGGAGACTTTGGACATGTCGAGGCCGTCATGGACGCCTACCTCTTCCCTTTCTCTCTCGCCCGCCCTCTCCAACCCCATTTTGGGCATTTCCGAGACACCCCCCGCCTTTCCCACCCTCATCTGCATCTGGGCGCCTACAGATCCCGTCCTTGTGAGCTCTGATAACTGCGCCGGTAATTCCGAGTCAGGATGGAGAACGGAGCTGAGGGGGCTTGCGGGGTTTGGGGATGGGGCTTATATGGTCTTGCAGATCCGTCTTTTTCTTTTCTTTCTTTTTTTTTTTTTTTTTGGATAATCCAACTCTGACTGCCGTTTGCTGGGTTCTGCCCCGTCTGAGTGAGACCTGTGGTGGCCTGCATTCCCTCCCTCCCCTTGGCTAGGGATGGGGGATAGAACCGAGGCACACGGAAAGAAGAGCTCAGCCAGGGTCCAGGGATGCTGCCCATCTTTCCTTCCACTGACCTCAGGGCCAGGTGACCCGCCCCCCAACACCCCCCCCCATTCTGACATCCAGAGAAGGGTGTGGACCGTGCTGGGGTTGTTCAGGGGATAGCTCTTTTGTCCCCCTGCCAAGGTCCACACCCCTTGGGAACCCTCAAAATGGGTAGGATGCTGAGAGAGAGGGGTTTGCCCTGAAGTCCCGGCTGGGGTCTGAAGGAGGCATCTGGGCAGACACAAGCCCTTTCGAAGCTGCCATTGGCGCTGCTCTCCCAGGCAGCAGCCCTCCCTCTCCCTCAGAATGGGGCAGCCAGGCTGGGAGGAATTGCAGTTCTGCTCTCGAAAGCCCGCCAGCCCTGTCGGCTTCGTGGAGAGAGCGCTAGTATCCTTGCAGCTAACAGTTGGAGGAAGTGTACAGCCCAGGAGATGTCTCTGACTCCTGGCCCTGGAGACCAGCTTGACCCATATCTGGGCTCTGCCATTCACCTCCTCACCACCTGCAGCCGGTGGGCCTGGGATGAACAGAGGAACAGCTGAGGGGGCAGCCAGAGGTTGGCAGGGGTAGACTGCCTCTCTGGGCCCTGCAGGCCACAGCATTCCAGCGCCCCTGAGGATGGGGGGGGGGGAGGGCTGGGGGGTTATCGGGAGGGGAAATCTGGGTTGGGGGGGGTTTTGGGCGGTGGGTGGGGGGGGGGGTGAGTTGGGGGATGGGGAGGGGAGAGAGCTTAGCAGTGGGTCCAGAGGCTCCGGAGCTGGATCTGGGGATATCCAGGGGGACTGCGGGGGGGGCTAAAGGTTTGAGAGTAGGTCCCTGGTGTGGGTCTCTGGGAGCTGGTGAGCCTCATTCTGGCCGTTCTCTGCTCCCAGGATGCGTGCATCTGTGGGAAGCCAGTGGGAGGCAGGGATGGCCACAATCACGTAGGCTCTCTGTAGCCAGGCAGCGGTCGCTCCTCTGAAGGCGATGCTTGGGGAAGCGGTTTGAAGGGGGGAGTTGGGCTGCTCTTTCCAGGCCTAGGGTCCAAGATGGAGGTGCTGAAAGGTGGGTGACGGGAGGGGATGGTGTGGTCTCTTGTCCCCTTTGCCTTTGGAGGACCCCAGTGGGACAAATGGGAGAATGGTGAGCAGGGACTGGATTGGGAGACTGTGTGTCCCCCTCCCTGTTTCGGGACGTGGGCTCTTTGGCAAGCAGGCAGGACTCCTTTCCTTGTGTCCACCCTGACACCTAAGAGCTGGGGAACTGGATTCCCACAGGAGCTGTGTGGATTGGCAGGTGGGGGAGGAGGGTCAGAGGTCATGGGTCTGATGACCTTTCCTCACCCTGTCTTCTCCCCAGTGCCCTCTTAGATCTTTGGCTGGTATTGACAGAGCCTTGGGAAGGGCCCAGCCTTCGGCCTCGGAGGCAGAGAACTGTGGAGGGAGGGAGGGGAATCAGGCTCGTTGTGGGAAGTAGCTGTCACCCATTCCTCTGTCACTCAAGGGAATGGAGGCTCAGGGTAGCAGAGTAACTTCTGTAGAGGCACACAGCCCGGACGGTGAGCCAGGCTTAGGTCTCGGTCTATCCAACACCAAGGCCCGGGCCCCCATTCTGCAGGATGCCTGTGGAAAGAGGCTGGGAGGAGGGCCTGGAGGGCAGGCAGAAGGAGGAGGGTGAAGGAGGAGGCCTGACTTTAGCACGACCTGGGAAGGGGGCTTGAGATGCAGCCCAGACTTTGCAGGAGGAAAGTGTGCTCCTCAGATCTCTGATGCTATCAGAGAGAGGGAGTTCGGGGGTCCTCCAGCCTTCCATCAGCCTGAAGCTCTTGCTGGTGTGTGCCTAAGGGTACAGCTTGGGCTGACTCTTGGGATGGAGCTCGGATGAAGCTGTGTTTCCATCAGGCCTCACTCTGGGAACCTGGGGGGGTGTCCTTGGGGGCTGGCCTCCAAAGACACACCCTCTTGTCTGTGGAGCTCTAGGGCCCTGACACCCCTCCCTGGGTGCTTAACTGATCATGCCTGACTTTTAAGATGGACAAGAGAGTCCCTGTTATCTTCCTCTCAGAGTCGTGTGTGGAGCGCCTCTTGGGTCCCCATCGGAGGCTGGCTGAGGGCGCCCGTGATCGGGGAGGGGGCTGCCCCACCAGTCACAGGAGGGAATCAGCTGCAAGGCATCAGAGCAGAAATGTGGGTCTCAACTCCTCCCCTCCCAAAGGGCTCTGCTTCTGGGCCTCTTTCTGTGCAGGAAGCCAGCTCCTCAGCCATGGGAGCTCCAGGCCCTCAGGAACCTCAACCTAAAAGGGGCCGCGCATTGCTGCGCCCAGCCAGGCTCTGTCGCCACAAAGGCAGAAGGTGGAGGCTGGGAGTTGGCTCCTCTGTCTAGGTCAAGCCTTCCCGAGGCTGGGTCACAACGGTGCATCTTTGACTGTCAGAAGATCAAGGGAGAGGAGATGGCTCATGGGACCCGATGTTCCTGGGGTTGGCTACCCAGATTTTGAGCTCTTGGCTGGGACTCTGAGCCTCCAGCAGGGAGGCTCAGAGTCCCAGCGGGGTCTCTGTGGGAGCCCCCACAGGATCCCTGGTGTTTGCCACTCTCTGGTCCATTTATGTCCCCAGTCTTCCCTGCAGGCCCTTGCCTCTGCTGGGTGAAGGATCATTTGGGTTTTGGCTACTCTATTGGTTCCTTGATTCTCAGCCTTTCTAAGGATCAAGGGGAGCGCCAGCCTTGACAATTACCCATGGGACCTGGGATGCAGGCAACGGTGTGAGCCAGGCCCCAAGGGAGCTCAGCCAGGCACAGAGCCTAGGTCTGAGAGAGGTAGGCTGAGCTGGGACTCCTTTGTGGTAAGATCTGGAAGGGAGGCTGGTTGCAGCTCTGGGGAATGAGGTACTTCCAGGATGGAAGCTGGGGCCCCGGGGCTCCAGAGGCCCTGGGATTTTGCCTGGAGGCCAGACCCTCCTTGGCTCCAGAGTCCTCAGCCCCCACAAGCCCAGGTCAGTCTTGCTAGGCACACACCGGGGCCCAGGGCATCATCTCTGCAGCTCCAGGGACCTGGGTGTATGGCAGCTTTGGGTAAAAGCAGCGCAGCCTGGCCCTTGCTTTGGGAGTGTTGGGGCGCGGTCCTTGGAGGGCTGGTCCTGGAGTCTGGGAGGCAGTGCAGGGTCCTGTAACAGGCCGACCAGCCTCCTGCCTGGCTGAAGAGGAGCACGCTGCCGTGAAGAAGGGCAGTTCTGATGCCCGCTCCCTTGGGATGCTCTGTCCTTGCCCTGCCCGTCCCTGCCTGCTGCCTCCTTCTCTTCTCTGACTGTAAGGGTCCTTAGCCCAGCTGGCTCTTGGGTGGGGGTGTGGGTGAGCTGTGACCTTCCCTCAGGATGACCTTTGCCAGGATTGTGGCATCTCTGCTGCCACTGGAGCCCATCCAGTGGCCTCTCCTGGGATCACAGACACTGTCTCTGGCCTCATTTGGAGGCCTCCCATTGACTGCAGGGAGGGTAGGAAGCGAGAAAGGGATGACACACATGGGTCCCTCCCCTGGCTCTGTCCCTAACCCGTTGTGAGCTGTAGGAGGGGTCTGTAGCCTTTTTCAGCCTGTAAATTCAACTATGAATTGAATCCCTTCAAGCTTGGACCGATGCCACCCCAGGGCTCAGGGAGCACCCCATGGAGTCTCTGTGAGGTCCCTTCTAAGGGCACAAGCTTTAGGATTGGTGCTGACTCTTGTGATGCCACCAGGAAGAGGACTGGGTGCTCCCTCTCCCTTGCTTGACCCTCCCACTGGCCGGTTTTCCCTTTGTTCCTTCCCTTCCCACCTCTACTGAACTCTGGGTCACCCAGAAAGTGCCACACGGCTTGGAGTCAACGGCCCAGACCAAATGTCACACTTAGGGATGCCCTGGGGCCTACAGCCCCTCACAGCCTGGACATCTAGCTTCGTGTGGGTCTCCGTTCTCTACCCTGCACTCAAGGCAGGGAGGAGACGGCCCTCTGCAAAGCTTCCATGCGTTGCTCCAGCAGGGACCTCCACTGAATGGGAGAGGAACATGCTA